TCTGCCCGTGCGTCGTGGTCTCATTTTCTCTGAATCTGGCTCGTTTTCGTTTTCTCGTGTTATCGGCCCTTGGGTCGTGGTCTCGTTTCCTCACGCCCTGGTTCGTTCTCTCGTTTTTTAGTTGTTTCGGCTTTTGGGTCGTGGCCCCGATTTCGCGGACCCTGGTTTGTGGTTTCGTTTTCTCGTTGGTTCGGCCCTTGGGTCGTGGTCTCCTTTTCTTCGGCACGGGTTCGTTTTCTGGGTTTCTCGTTTTCTCGGCTCCTGGGTCGTGGTCCCGGTTTCTCTGACCCTGGTTCGTTTTCTAGCTTTCCTGTTTTCTCGGCCTCTGGGTCTCGTTTTCTCGGGTCCTGGTTTGTTTTTTTGTTTTCTTATTAGCTCTCAGATTCTGGGTCGTTTTCTCTGGCTCTGACTCGTTCTCTCGTTTTCTGTTTTTTTCCGTTTTCTTGGACCCTGGGTCGTGGCTTCGGTTTCTCAGGCCCTGATTATTTTTTTCGTTTTTTCGTTTGCTCGGCACCTGGGTCGTGGCCTCGCTTTCTCGGACGCTCGCTGTCTTGTTTCCTCCTTTTCTCTGGTATTGGGTGTTGATCACGTTTTCTCTGACATTCTTCTTTTTTTTGGTGTTAAAAATTAATAAACAAAGTTTTCTTGCTTTCTCAGCCCCTGGGTCGTGATCTCGGTTTTTCAGCCCCTGGGTCGTGGTCTCGGTTTCTCATTTTCTCGGCCCCTGGGTCGTGGTCTCGGTTTCTCGGGCCTTGGTTCGTTTTTTCGTGGTCTCGTTTTATCGGCCCCTGGGTCGTGGTCTCGTTTTTCGGATTCTGGTTTGTTTTTTTTTTTTTTTTTTTTTGTTGTTTCGGCCCCTGGGTCGTAGCCTTGTTTTCTCAGACGCTGTGTCGTTTTCTCGTTGGTTCGGCCCTTGGGTCGTGGTCTCGTTTTCTCGGACCCTGGTTCGTTTTCTCGTTGTCTCGTTGTCTCGGCCCCTGGGTCGTTGTCTCGGTTTCTCAAGCCCTGGTTTGTTTGCTAGGTTTCTCGCTTCCGGCCCCTGGATCGTGGTGTCGTTTCTTTGACCCTGGTTCGTTGCTTCGATTTCTCGTTGTCTGGACCCTTGGGTCGTGGTGTCGGTTTCTCAGACCCTGTGTAGGTTTCTTGTTTTCTCGCTGTCTCGGCCCCTGGGTCGTGGTCTCGTTTTCTCGGCCCTTGGTCGTTTTCTCGTTTTCTCAGCCCCTGGGTCGTGGTCTCGTTTTCTCGGGCCCTGCTATGTTTTCTTGGTTTGTCGTTGTCTAGGCCCTTGAGTCGTGGTCTCGTTTCCTCGGACCCTGGTTCGTTTTCTCGTTTTTTCGTTTTCTCTGCCTCTGGGTCGTGTACCGTTTTCTCTGACCTTGGTTCGTTTTCTCGTTGTCTCGTTTTCTTGGACCCTTTGTCGTGGTCTCGTTTTCTAGGACCCTGGTTCGTTTTCTCGTTTTCTCGTTTTCTCGGGCCCTGGGTCGTGGTCTCGTTTTCTCAGGCCCTGGGTTGTGGTCTCGTTTTCTCAGACCGTGGTTCGTTTTCGTCTTTTTCTGTTCTCTCGGCCCCTGGGTCGTGGTGCTGGTCGGTTTCTCTGACCCTGGTTCGTTTTCTCGTTTTCTCGTTGGTTCGGCCTTGCGTCGTGGTCTTGTTTTCTCTGACCCTGGTTCGTTGTCTCGTTTTCCTGCTTCTCGTCCCCTGGGTCGTGGTCTCGTTTTCTCCGGCCATGGTCCGTTTTCTCGTTTTCTCAGCCCTTGGATCGTGGTTTCCGGTTCATGGACACTTGTTTGTTATTCCGTGTTCTCGTTTTCTCGGGCCCTGGGTCGTTTTTTCGTGTTCTCGTTTTCTCGGCTCTCGGGTCGTGGTCTCGGTTTCTCAGGCCCTGGCTCGTTTTATCTTGTTCTCGGCCCCTGAGTCGTGGTCTCGGTGTCTCTGACCCTGGTTGTTTTTTTTCTCGTTTTCTCGTTCTCTCTGCCCTTGGGTCGTGGTTTCGTTTTCTCTGACCTTGGTTCGTTGTCTCGCTTTCTCGTTGTCTCGGCCCTTGGGTCGTGGTGATGGCTTCTCGGACCCTGGTTAGTTTTTTTTTTTTGTTCGGCTCTGCCTTATTTTCTCTTTTCTCGTTTGCTCGGCACCTGGGTCGTGGTCTCGCTTTCTCGGATCCTGGTTCGCTTTCTCGTTTTTTAGTTTTCTAGGCCCCTGGGTCATTGTCTCGTTGTCTCAGGCCCTGGTTCGTTGTCTCGTTGTCCTGTTTTTTCGGTTCCTGTGCCGTGGTCCTGGTTTGTGGTTTCGTTTTCTCGTGTTCTCGGCCCCTGGGTCATGGTCTCCTGTTCCTTGGCCCTGATTCGTTTTATCGTGTTCTCGGCCCCTCGGTCGTGGTACTGTTTCACGGACCCTGGTTTGTGTTCTTGTTTCTTCATGTTCTCGGCCTCTTGCGTTTTCTCGGGCCCAGGTTCGTTTTTTCGTGTTATCATTTAGCCTTTGGGTCGTGGTCTTGTTTTCTCAGGCTCTGGTTCGTTCTCTGCTTTCCTTGTTTTCTCGGCCCCTGGGTCGTGGCCTCGGTTTCTCGGACCCTGCTTTGGTTTCTCGTTTTGTTCGCTGTCTCTGCGCTTGGTCGTGGTCTCGTTTTGTCAGGCCTCTGGCTCGTTTTTTCGTTTACTCGTTTTCTCGGCTCCTGGGTCGTGGTCTCGTTTTCTTGGCCCCTGGGTCGTTGTCCCGGTTTCTGGTTTTCTCGGCCCCTGGTTCATGTTCTCGTTTTCTCGGCCCTTGGGTCGTGGTCTCGTTTCTCGGACCCTGGTTCGTTGTTTCGATTTCTCGTTGTCCCGGCCCTTGGGTCGTGGTGTCGGTTTCTCAGACGTTATGTAATTGTCCTGTTTCCTCGTTGTCTCGGCCCCTAGGTCGTGGTCTCGGTTCTCTGACCCTGGTTCGTTTTCTCGTTTTTTTGTTTTCTCGGTTCGCTTTCTCGGCCCCTGGGTCGTGGTCTTGTTTTCTCAGACCCTGGTTCGTTTTCTCGATGTCTCGTTTTCTAGGGGCGAGGGAGATCTGTTCCGGGCATTTGCATGGGGTTGGGGGGGGCGTTCGGGCGGGGGTATAATCAGGAGGGTTGAGGGTGAGGTGTACATGGTAAGGTGTGTGGGATAGGGTGTGTAGGTGCTGGTCGTAGTGGCAGTCGTTTGTAGGTGTCAACGTTAGGGTCTAGTGTGAGGAGCCGGGGGCGACGGTTGAGGTTCCGGAGGATGGGGGGGCGCTCCCGCGGACCAGACAAAACGGGGGGAGGGGTGGCTTCCGGCAGGGGGGGTCCAAGGGAGGGAGGAGGGTAGCTAAGCCCCCCCTCCTTTATCAGAAAGGGTGGGAAGGGGGGGGGGCCGAAGGGGGGAAGGGGGGTAGCTTGGGGCGGCGACGGAAAGGGGGGAGGGGGGGGGCCTTCCGGCAAGGCGGGTTCAAGTTGGAAGGGATATCCAAGCCTTTCCCTCCTTTTGCACAGGGGGGGAGGGGGCTAGCTTCAGGAGGGCGAAAGGGAGCCAGGGGGCGGGAGCTCGGTCGGCGATCAAAAGGGGGAGGGGGGGGGGGGGCTGCTGGCAGGAGGAGTCGATGGGAGGAGCCGGGGTGGCTAAGCGTCTCCCCACCTTTGCACAAGGGGGGAAGGTGGGGGGTAGCTTCTGGAGGCGGAAAGCGGAAAGGGGGGGAGGGGGGGGGGAGTTTCCGCGCGGCGGACAAAAAAAGGGGGGGCGGGGGGGGCTTCGGGCAGGGGAGGTCCAAGGGAGGGGGGTAGCTAAGGGGGGCCCCCCCCCTTTGCTCTCGCCCTGCGGGCGCGCTCTCTCCTAGATGTGATATACTGTAAATCCCCCATGGGCGGATCGAGGCCATTTGCGAGTAGTTACTTGGCGAGTAGTGGAACGCGCTTGTTTATCCTCCACCTCCTGTGGCGTCAGTACCTGCCCAGGGGTGCGCGCGCGCGTCGTTGGGTGCAGGACGACCCTTCGGGTGTGACCAACATGCTTTTCAGCGCTCCACCTCCTCCTCCGCCTCTCAGGGACAACGTTACGGGGGGATACATTCACGGGGGAGGCATCGACCCCCAGTCGCCCATTGATCGCCGAGAGGAGCTTGATAGCCCAGCCCGCCCGGGACTCTGCGGCCACTCCGCCCAGGACTCTGCGCTTTCGCGATCGAGAGCTTGTCGCCGATCCATCGGCGATGTATCGCCGCTTCAGGATCGACGCCCCCCCTCCCCCCCTGCGCCCGTCCCATCCGGTCGTGGCCCCTCGACCTCCGTGCTCCTCCACCGTGCGGCTCGCGCCGAGCCTGAGCTACAGCCTGCTCGGGCTAGTTCGGGCAGGTCCCTCTGCAGGAGGAACATCCAAACATAGTCCAGAAATAGTCCGGGGACGATCTCTTCAGTGTGTTTCAGCATTTTCCCGGTTCTATCTAAGACTCTCTTTAGGACTTTGCATCCCAAACCCGCCCGTGGGAGGACGCGCCCGACCGAAGCCGCGCCCGGCATGTGGCCCGCCTGCGCCTCTTCTCTCCGCCGCGGGCTTCCTGGCCCCCGGCGGCGGCCTCCCTCGAGGCCGCCGGCCGCCGCCCCTGCTGCGCGCGGGTGCGGGTCGCGCCACCGGCGGCGGCCGTGCGGCGGCCGTGCCCGAGGGGCCAACGCCGGACCCGCACGCGCGAGCTGCCGGAGGCGCGGCGACGCGGCTGTTCCCGCGCGCCCGAGGCCGAAGCTCAATCCTCCCCCCGCCCTCCTCGCCCGATGCCGATGCCGCCGCCGCGGCGGGGGGGCGGGGAGCTGCCGCGAAGGAGGGGCGTCTTGCGGCAGGCAGTATGCCGCGGCGTTCGGGGAGCTGGTTCCCCAGCCTGCTCCTCCCTTTTCCTTCCTCCTCCTCCTCCTCCTCCTCCTCGCTCCTCCTCGCTCCTCCTCCTCCTCCTCGCTCCTCCTTCCTCCCTCCTCCTCTTCTTCCTCTCCTTCCTCCTCCTCCGTCCTCCTCGGAGCCCTGCCGCAGGTCATGGCGGAGGCACCCAGCCTCCACTACGACATCCTCGTGTCGGCGGTCTGCGGGCGGGGGCCCGCCGCGCGCGCCCGCGCGCCGCGGAGGTGGGCGGGCAGTGGCCCGAGGCGTGCACGCCGGGCCGCCTCCTGCGCAGCCGCCCTCCTCCGCCTGCCCTCGCGCCGCGTGCCAGCGCGCCCCGCCAGGAGCGGCGCCAGCGCCCACGACCGCCCGCCCGGGGCGAAGAGGGCACGGGTAGGACAGGCTCTGGCCCCAGGCCCCCGGAGCCCCAGAGGCCAGCTTTACGTCCATAGGCACTGCGCCTCGGCCGCTTGGCGCCCCTTTTCCAGAAAGTCCTCGACGCAGGGGATGTGGATCTGAGTTTGGCCTGCAAAACACTACTAGTACGTCGCTGGTCGGCCAAGGATCAGGGGCAACGTTAAGGGGGGGGATCGTCAGGGGAGGAATAAATGCCCATCCCGCTGCTCGTCTTGGCGAGTCCTCGTCGCAACGGCTGGGTTCGCCTCGAAATCCTGGTCAGAGCGCCCCCCTGGAGGGGCCCGATGTGCACTACCCGCCGTTTGGTCTGCCAAACCGTAACTTTCAGAAGCCAAGCACATGGCGTACACTTGTACTTTCGAATGTCCGTGCTGATTTCGTGGATCTGATCTGCGCCAGACTCCCCTGGCGGCGAGTCCTGCGCCGCTCCTGGCGCGCTCCGCGTGCCAGGACGGGGGGGCAGATCTGATCCAATAAACTCGCGCAGGCCTTCGACAATGTTTTTCAAATGCAGATTGCGAAGGCCTTGTGCCACCGACCCTGAAGGCGGGACCTCCCCCGGACCCCCGCTGGCGACCACGGCCAGTGCCACCGACCTTTCGAAGGCGAGAACTCCCCCAGGACCCCCGCTGGCGGCCCCTTCTGGGACCCTGGGGGGAGTGGTGTTCTGACCCGGGACCAACTTACGACTTTCTTCGGGACTCTTGAGTGGGCAACATTCTTACCGGGGATCCCTCCCCCGCACCCTGGGGGGTATTCTGGCTTGGGACCCCCCCCGGGACCCCCCCCCGCCACCCACCCACCTCCAGCAGGGAAGGAGTAAAGGGAAGGTGCTTTACTTCGACCTGGCGGAGACGTTCCGTTTCCTTGTTCCTCATATTCTTTGGGATTGACGACGACGATAACGAGGACGAGGAGGACGACGACGATGACAACGACAACGACGACGACAAGGACAATCAAGACGACAAAGACGAGGAGGAGGACGACGACCACGGCGACGTCTTCCACACGTGGGAGGGTCGGCAGATTCGTGTTTCTGGGGCCATCATCGGGGGCCACGCTAAGGGGAGCTATGCTCATGGAGGAATGCAGCGACCATCAAGCGCCTGGAAGAAGGGGTTGCCTCCCGCGGAGGAAGGTGGGACAGAGAATCCTCTACAGACCAAGGTGGCAGGTCCCCAGGGTCGGTCAGGGACCTCTCCTCAATTTGGGTTCCCTTCGGGGATCATCCGTTAGAATCGGAACGATACAGAGAAGCTTGGCATGGCCCCTGCGCAAGGATGACACGCACACGTCGAGAAGTGTGCAGAAAGTTTGAACACAGAAAAAGCCGCTGAAGTGAGGACCACCTTGGGGCTCGGGAGGGGCTCCGTCTTCCGGGCCCAGCGGACCTCGTCATGCTCAGGGCGTGCTGTGGCCAGAAGAAAGGCCCTCCGCGCCTTTTACGCAGGGCTCCTTCTGGTAGCACGATTGGGGGGCCACATGCGAACCCTACCCCTACCCCCCACGATTTCTGAGGGGGAGGTTGGGGTTCACTTCGCTCGGGGAAGTGAACCCCACCCTCCCCTGAGAAGTCGGGGGGGGGTAAGGGTAGGGTTCGCATGTGGCCCCCTAACGATGGCTGCAGTCAAGTCTAGATCACTAGGCCTCCTAGATGGGGTCGGAGTGGATGGGGTCGGAGGATCGCGCCGCATCGGCGAGGCATCGGCGATGCTGATCGGCGATGCGGATCGATGTGGGGCCCACTTCTCTTTACGCCGACGTCGCCGATGCACCACCGATGCGTCGCCGATACATCGGCGGTGCATTGGCGATGCGGCGCGATCCTCCGACCCCCACCTGCTCGGGCCCCATCCAGGAGGCCTCCGAGATTGCCGCCTCCTCCTCCTCGGTCCGGTTCGGGCTTCAGCCAGGCGGAGTGGGGAAAGGGGCTCTTCGAGACTGGGCCGCCCCTCGGGGGGAAGGCCCCCGCCCATGTGGGTGCGGCCAGCCCTTGGTCCCCCCGGCCCGCCGAGGAGGCTGCCGCCTGCCTCCGCCTGCTGCTCTCATCCGACCGACTCGTTTTTCAGGAGGGAAAGCAAGACAGAAAGAATTAATCGTCGATCCCCCAGAAAATGGGGAACTAGTGGGAAGTGGGGGGGAAAACAAAAACAACGGAAATATTGAAAATCATGAGGAATCATGTTTGTTGTGTGTATTTGTTTGTGTGTCCTTGGGCTCCTTCAGTCTGCTGCCCGCTCGCTCGCTCCCCCCCCTGGCCGGCAGGGAGCAGGGGGGGGGGGGCGGCCGCAGAGGTCGACCTGGAGCTCGCCGACGCCGAGGCCATGCAGGAGGCCCGCGGCGGCAGTCCTTTCGTTGGAGCGAGGCAAGCGGAAGGGGCCGTCTTGGAACCATCTTCGGGCACCTTCGAGCAATCTTGGCCTCGGCAATGCGAATACAGTGTAATTTTCCAGAGTTTAAGGCTTCGGGGACGCGAACATTAAGTAATTTACGAGGCTCTGTTGCCTTGGGGACGCAAGCATTGCGTAATTTACAAGGGGGGGCCTCGGGGACGCGACAATTGCATCATATACAAAGGGATTATGGCTTCGGGGGCGCGAACCTCATGTGTTTTTACGTGTCCCACGCACCCCAGGGCATTCAGAGCACGCGATCCGGGCGTAGTCAACTGCTGGTTTGAGGCTCCCCCCCCTCGCGCGGACTTCAGCAACTTACAGTAGGAAGCAGACAGCAGTACTGTAACATTGGATATTTGAAACAGCAACTGGCGCAGGGAGCAGCAACTTCGCCCGACAGCCTGGTGGCCCCACAAGGGGGCCGGCAGATTCCGACGATCCGATGCGGCCCGATGTTTGCATGACGTTGTTGTGCATCTTGGCGCAGCCGATTCGATTTCGATTCCGTGCCGATGCTGCCTGATCCAGAGCACACCGATTCGATCCGACTTGCCGATCAGATGCTGACTTGTCCTGCCACGCTGGGCTCAGGAGGGGTTCTGGCTATCGTGGCGCTCACCCCAGAGGTTGCTAGAACCCCCACCCTGCCAGGCCGATTTGCAGATTGCTCTTTTCGATTCTCGAGAGGGCGTCGTGCACGCAATGTTGGCGAGCTTGCGACCACCAGGTCTGGTCCTGGGTCGTTTCCAGTACAGGTTATCCAAACCATCTTGTGTTGGGTCCTCGTTTTGAAGGGACAGCGCCCCGCGTTCCTTTTTCCTTACTCCTCCCCCCTCCTCCCTCCTCCCATCTCTGCCTTTGCCCTCCGCAGTATTCACATTTCGTCACACCCCTCGCACGTTTCGTGCCCCATAGGGGAGCTCCACCGACGACCCCAGCGGCATGGTCCGCATATACCCGCACACGATTCGGCACACCTCTCACAGGCTTCGTGTCTCCATGGGCAGCTCCACCGACGGCCCCAGCGGCAGGGTCCGCATGACGGACCCGCACACGATTCGGCACCTCTCTCACGCGCTTCGTGGCCGCATGGGGCGCTCCACCGTCGACCCCAGCGGCAGGGTCCGGTCCGCCTGGCGTACCCCGCCCGGGTTGGCACACCCGTCGCACGTTTCGTGGCCCCTTCGGGAGCCCCAACGAAGGTCCCAACCGCAGGGTCTGCATGGCGTGTGCAGTGCAGGTCCGATCGCGCGCGGCGACCGCACGCGCCCCACAAGTGGAGACGGTGATGGAACAGATGCAATGAGTCACACCCCACTCGACGAGTCTCCCACACGCTTCGCATCTCCATGGGGAGGGGCCGCCAGCAGCAGGGTCCGCATGGCGTGCCCGCACAGGATTCGGCACACCCTTCACACGCTTCGTGGCTCCATGGGGAGCTCCACCGACGGCCCCAGCGGCAGGGTCCGCATGGCGTGCCCGCACCCGGGTCGGCACACCTGTCGCACGTTTCGTGGCCCCATAGGGAGCTCCACCGTAGGCCCCAGCGGCATGGCCCGCATGGCGTACCCGCACCTGATTTGGTACACCCCTCGCACGTTTCGAGCCCCCATATGGGTGCTCCACCGACGGCCCGAGCGGCAGGGTTCGCATGGCGTGCCCGCACTCGATACGGCACACCTCTCACTTGCGTCGTGTCTCCATGGGGAGCTCCACAGTTGGCCCCAGCGGCAGGGTCCGCATGGCGTGCCTGCCCCCCCTCACACGTTTCGTGTCTCCATAGGGAGCTCCACCGAAGGTGCCAACGGCAGGATCCGCATGGCGTACCCGCACCCAATTCGGCACACCCCTCGCACGTTTCGTGGCCCCATAGGGAGCTCCACCGAAGGACGCAGCGGCAGCGTCCGCATTGCGTACCCGCGCCCGATTTGGTACACCCCTTGCACGTTTCGTGGCCCCATAGGGAGCTCTACCAAAGGACGCAGCGGCAGAGTCCGCATGGCGTACCCGCACCCGATTCGGCACACACCTCGCACGTTTCGTGCCCCCATAAGGAGATCTTCCGACGGCCCCAGCGGCAGGGTCCGCCTGGCTTGCCCGCATACGATTTGGTACACCCTCATACGTTTCGTGGCCCCATAAGGGAGTTCCACAGAAGGCCCCAGCGGCAGGGTCCGCATGGCGTACCCGCACCCAATTCGGCACACCCCTCGCACGTTTCGTGGCCCAATAGGACGAAGGCGTAGGTCCGTAGCCACTTTGGCTCAAGTCCGCGAGGTGAGTGCATCTCCTCCTGGCATCTCAATCGAACAACTGCTCTTTCTTACCTTTTACATCTGCTCTTTCTTATCCTTTCAAGCCATAGTCGCCTCAGTCATGGCGTACAAGCTAATCATCGCGACGGTGTCCGCGTTCGCTTCCATGGTGGGCGCCGAGCTGCATCTCATCCAGGTGTCCGTGCACGGGTCGGACGGCAATGAGGCGTCCACGCCAGCACCGACCCCAGCACCAGCGATGGCCTGCGCGGAGCAAGGGTGGAATGGTAATGGCATTCCATTTCGCATCGGTTTTTCGATTCACGTTACTTCTTCTTTTCCTAACATCGCCTCTTCTTATCTTCTTTTGGGGAGTGGCTACAATCCCTACATGGCTATCTACGGGCCTGGGATGCCTGGGGTGAATGCGGGGACCTTTCAGTTGCTTTTCCAGTTTAATGCCCTGTCGATTCCCTCAACGACTTACCGTGTGACGTTGCCAGTTGGCCTTGATCAGTACTATGAGATGGTCATCGTGAGTGAAAGCGACTTCGCCTGCTACGTCAACGGCCAACAGGTCTTCAACACACAAGTGGACCGGCCCGTGTTCTCGTCCTACGGCACCGCGCTGGCATCTCTGCCTCCCCTGGACGGAGCATTGAATACCCTCAGTCCGAGCACATTCCCAGCGGACTCTGCAGAGAGGTATAGGATCTGTGACTTTTCAGTGACCAGGGCCATTTCAAACTCGACGTGCTATGATCCCTTGTCGCTATCGACGTGCCTCGCCGCGCCGACCCCGAGCCCGACGCCGAGCCCCACGCCCCACCCGACGGCTCCAACGCCAGCGCGTACCTTCGAGCAGACGACGGATTTGTGGTTGCCAGTGCTGAGCACTGATCATGCGGGTGGCACCGTCGGTAGGTATTTCAATTTCGATTGGGTGGCGGAGCTTGGATCTGGAACGGTTTACTGGCCAGATTTGAGGCAATGCCGCGGTGGGGTGGAGCTTGCGGTTGGTTCTGGTGTGCTTTGGCAAGGTGCCAATGGTGGAACGGCCGGCAATTCTCATGGACGTTTCGACAGTACAGCTGCGATTCATCGTGATTGGAAAGTGGGTGATATCGCTACAAATGGAAACTGTCAGCCCAGTCCCACGCCCAGTCCGACGCCCAGTCCGACCCCTAGCCCCACGCCAAGCCCGACGCCGTACCCGACGGTCCACACGCCGCACCCGGGCAGCGATGGCGGCTTTGTGCTGGCGATGCGGTTTGCCACCTTCAGCCAGTTCACCTTCTCCAGCGACTACTGGACAAATGACCAACTCGTGGATGAAGCCGATGCTGACCCTTACAAGGATGCCGACGGAAAGTTTGACGCATTTCTGTCTGCGCCCGCGACCGAAATAAGAGGGTGTCTCCCTGGGGGGTGCAAGACGTACAACTTTGCCTCCATGGGGCTTCCCACGACGACGACTCTCAAGGATTTGTTCGCCACTACTCCCATCGGCTCCTCCGCGAATATCAGGTTCGGCGAATCGACTGCTGATATCAGGCTGTGGGCTGAATACGCCGGGCGGAACGGATGGGCGGAAGAAACCGTTTGGATGGGTTCGGGCATTAATTACGCAGACGACATGTCAATCTATCAGGCCAGGGTGCGATTCGGTGCTCTCTTCAACAACTATGACAGAGTTGGTGATGCCGACGACGCCATCGGGTTTGGGGCAACAGAGGCTGAGGGTCAAGGTATGGTGGGCGCTGGAGCGACGACTTGGCCAAGGAATTCGTATCCAGTGCAGGGCACGATCTGGGTCAAGACCCCTGCGCCCAGCCCGACGTCCAGTCCGACATTGGCACCGACGCCAGCACCGACATTGGCATCGATGCTGTTGTACACAGAGCATACGGGTCAGACGTGCGATGGGAACGGTGTCGCCGGCAACTTGGGCTCAATCAGAGTAGACGTCTCTGGTGGTGATATTGGACCTTGCGCCGACGAGTGCAATTCGAACCAGGAGTGCGTCGGATTTGTGCATGTCTCGACTGGGGAATGGTCCCCTGCCTGTTTCCTGCGCTTGGGAGCGATGGGGAGTCCGACGCCTTTTTATCCGTAAGGGCTTCGCCCCCTGCCGCCGGCCCCCTCTCTCGGAGAATGAGCCATGGCAGAGCTAAGTCATGAGGCTTTGGCGCTGTCGCGCAGCAGTATCGGAACTTCGAGGCCGATTCGCAATCGGCAAAACCAACTGATCACAAGAGGGGTTACCACACAGGGCGATTGGTAAGACGTGTATGGTTTACGAGCTTGGTTACCACACCTTGGGATTAAAGGGCCGAGGGAGTACTCGCAGTTTGGGTTACCACGCCTTGCGATGGATGTCCGTGAGGGGTGGCACCGAATTTCAGAAATGTGGCAAATCCCCTGTGTTTTTGGACCCTGACCCCGCGGATCTGCGTGAGGGGTGGCACCGAATTTCAGAAATGTGGCAAATCCCATGTGTTTTTGGACCCTGACCCCGCGGATCTGCGTGAGGGGTGGCACCGAATTTCAGAAATGTGGCAAATCCCATGTGTTTTTGGACCCTGACCCCGCGGATCTGCGTGAGGGGTGGCACCGAATTTCAGAAATGTGGCAAATCCCTTGTGTTTTTGGACCCTGACCCCGCGGATCTGCGTGAGGGGT